ATTTACCATTCACATTGCATGTCCCCAGAGAGTTTTCATCTGATAGAACTCCTTAAACACTTCAACATATTTCACCTCAAACCCAAAACAAAAACATATCAGATTCAGATCAGTGGTATCTATATGTATAAACATATTGATAATCATTTATAAAACCTTTTTTTACCATTTCTTCAGGTAGGGTAAGATCAGAGGATTTATAGCTCGGGCAGAAATCCGTAGTCAAGACAGTGACCGTGAAATCAATTGCGGGATGGGCCAAAGCATTGCCGGAAAGGTAGTTTTTAAACTGATTCTCCTTTGCCAATGCCAAATCTGTCGCCATGCCCACTTCCCAAATTCAGCACGTATATATTCTGGACCAACTAAGACGTCGTTACTTGAATCAATTAATCCTAAAATCGAAATAAATAATGGAAGGAGGTAATCGACTGAGAACAGAACTTTCTACAATCGATATTGGAAATGAATGAGCAATCCAAATAGGTTGAAAAGTGAAAGCCAAATGAACATTACCTTCTCAGTATCAATAGAAACACAATCAGAGAGACGTAAGGTAAGGTGCTTTTCCTTCCATCAACGATCAAACAAAATTTCCGAATTTTGTAACCTAAGTTTTCATAATACGCACCTGAAGCAAACAAATTTGGAAATTCAAGTTAAACAAAGCCAAAAGCCGAAAAATTTAATCTGAAAATCTCAGATCAAGTAAACAAATAAAATCCTCGTTTTATTCTTCGAGTCTGAAAGTCAGGGTTGTTGAATTGTACAAATCAATTAGGGAAATAAGATGGGTGAATCTAACGATCAATCTGATAGGTTTTGTGGGATAATAAATTCATACATGAATTTCAACGGAAAACATTGTTACTGAATGGAAAACGATTAACTTACCAAAGCTCATAATGGAAAACGATTGACCTACCAAAGCTCAATTTGATGTCTGTGTGTGTGTGTGTGTTCGCTTTTGGAAATCAGAACAAAAATCGATCTCAATCGCTGGCATATGGAGGTTGAAACGAATGAACAAAGAGGTTTCTATTCTTTTGGTTCGTTCAGCGATGAAGAGGGTTTCTCTCATCAGAAAAACACCCACTCGAAGGGCGTCAGAGTTGGAAGTTAGAGTACTTACACGGTGGAGGCAATGGAGTTGGTGACCGTCATTCCCCTTTTGTTGATGGTTGTCGGACATCGATGGAGAGCGGAGGAAGTGAGAGCGATTGAAGTCAATGGTGGTGGATGAAGGAAAAAAATGAGTCGGTGAAGAAATAGAAGAGAAGTGATGGGGTGGGAAGCACAAGTAGATGGGAGGATGATAGAATGAAGTCGGTGGGGAACATCGAGAAAAGTGTATGTGGCGGTGGGTTGTTGAGGAGACAGCATGTAATGTGCCAACAAGCAAACAAAGAAAAAAACTTAAAAGAAAATCAAAAAAAAAATCATCCAATGAAACAAAAGTACTGTTTGTTAGGGAACAAAAAATTAATAGTATTATAAATATAAATTGTATCTTGAAGTGCTTAACAAACAAATAATTTTTTTATAGATTTATAATCCTTTAACTTTAACAAATTATAAGATATTACAATACGAAGACAAAATTATATAAATGGTCGATGTAGTTTATCAAAAGTTGTAAAATCAAGACTTAAACTGCACAAATGGTCTCTGTGGTTTGTTCAAAATTGTCACTTTGGTTCAAAAAAGTTTGGACTAGCATCAGAGGTCCAAAGTTTTCATTTTGTTGCTTGTTTGGTCCAATCTGTTTTGACTTTTTTCAAAATGACGGATTTGCCTCTGTTAATATGATTTTCTCTTTTTTCTTAATTGTAATTCTGATTTTCAGATTTAAAAAAAATAAAAAATAAAAAATAAAATTATCTCTCTCTCTCTCCAAACAAAATTAATACAGATCTAGAAGTGGATTTGTAAAATGAAGAACCCTCACTTTTATCAGTTTTGTTCAATTCATTGTGTGAAGTCGAATAGAACTAAACACATACACACAAATTTTTTCTTTAACAGACCATAACCTTAAAATACTTGCTTGATGATGCGAGCATTGGGATGCAATTTCCCGCTTTCTCTTAAACTCCATTCCTCCAATTTGAAATCTGGTGAAATACTTGATTGACTGACTAAGAACGCCAGAGCTAAGTAGCAAATTGAGGTCGTGCATTTGCTTGGGATTACGATTTACAGGTGGCGAAAACGTCCCAAACACAACCAACAAAGCTCTAATACCAGCAAATTCAAGCAACAAGCTCAATGATTCTGTCTGCTTTAATGGCGAAAAGTCCAAACACAACCACCAACAACACCAAATCCCCCCTGAATGATGAACCAGTTATGAGATGATGAACTGGTAACACGGTAACCCACTTCATCTTTTACATCCTCCATCTTCAACATCGTCTTTTGTATCCTATTTGATCTTCCCCCGTAATCCATAATCCTGATTCTTATTAGGATCTGAAAAATGCCTGGTGAGTTTACCATCATCAGTAAGAATAAGGGAAGAATCCTGAATAGGGGAAAGAGTAGTGATGGCAACATGTTTTGAACTGATGCAACCCATTTAGATTCACCCCCAAAAACCCATCAACGAATTGATAGATTTTGGGGAGACCCATATGGACCCGACAAAGGAAGAAATCTGATTCCATGGTTTGTGGTTTCAGGTGAAGCAATTGGTGGTGTGGTGTGGGCGATAGAAGTGATGAGTAGTTTTGCAGGTATCGATGGTTTTAAGGAACGGATGAGCAGGAGCCGTATCTTTGGAGGTTCACCAAAAGAAGCTTGACATGAGATCTGGGTTTTGTTGGAAAAGGCTTGAAATGAGATCTGGTGTTGTTCTGGTTCTGATGGCAAATTCTTGTATCTAATTTGATGTTCTTGATGAATTTTTGGGGAAGAAACCATTAAAGAGATTTTGTAAAGGAAAAGTAATGAAGAATGAATGGGCATTAACGAGAGAGAGAGAGAGAGAGAGATTTAATTTTATTTTTTATATTTTTATTTTTTTTAAATCTGAAAATCAGAAAAACAATTAAGAAAAAAGAGAAAATCATATTAACAGGGGCAAATCCGTCATTTTGAAAAAAATCAAAACAGATTGTACCAAAGACGCAACAAAATGAAAACTTTGGACCTGTGGTGTTAGTCCAAACTTTTTTGGACTAAAGTGGCAATTTTGAGCAAACCACAGAGACCATTTGTGCAGTTTTGTCTAAAATCAATATATCCTAATATTTTTAATACAAATGGTCCTTGTGGTTTCTCTTTCTTGCATATTTGGTCCCTATGATTTCACTTTATTACAAATTGAAAAAATTACAAAAATGGTCCCTGTGGTTTGCCAAAAGTAACAAAGTCAGTCACTGCTACTTTTTTTTTGATGCAAATGGCCCTTGTGGTTTGCAAAACTTGCACAGATGACCCTTTTTACTTACGCCGATTTAGCCGTTAGGGACTGAATCTGTAAGGGCATTTTCGTCTTTTCAAGTATAAAATGACTGAATTCGTGACATTTGGTAAACCACAGGAACCATTTTTGAAATTTCTTTGAAAAAGACAACTAAATTGCTAGGGGGAGGGATCAAACTCATGACCTCCACCTCCTTAAAATTGTTAAAACATAAACAATATATAAATTATAAAAAACTTTTTTTGCATAATTTTTTCTTAAATAAAACAAAATGTATTTTAGTCGTATTATAAAAAAAATAGTTTTTAGAAAAAATTTGTATGTATTTTTATGTATTTATTTTACGGAAAATATATTTTTTGTCATGAGTAGTGTTAATTATTATTATTTCAAAGACATAAAAATATATATTTTACGAAAACGTATTTTTTAAAGACAAAAAATATATTTTACGTAAAATAAATACATAAAAATGCATACAAATTGTTTGTAAAAAACTATTTTTTTATAATACGACTAAAATACATTTTGTTTTATTTAAAAAAAATTATGTAAAAAAATATTTTTTATATTTTATTTATTGTTTATGTTTTAACGATTTTGTTTTTATATAAATTAGTTTTAGGAAAAAATAAACCAAGAGAGCATTCAGCTCAATTGGTTAAGGCTTTGATAATTTAAGAGGGTGGAAGTCATGAGTTCGAATCCTTCCCCTAGCAAATTAATTGTCCTTTTCAAATGTCACAAATTCAGTCATTTTATACTTGAAAAGATGAAAATGCCCTTATAGATTCAATCCCTAACGGCGTTAATAAAAATGGTCATCTATGCAAGTTTTGCAAACCACAATGGCCATTTGCATCAAAAAATTAGCAGGGACTGACTTTGTTACTTTTGGCAAACCATACCCCTAGTTAAAACTTTTATAGAGTTTTATCAATATTTTTATGATTAAATAAACAAAAAAAAATATATCTCTAACCCTACCCGCCCCGAGCCAACTCTTACGTAAAACCGACCGCCCCTTTATTCTCAAATTTCATGTCATCGACCCTCCGCATCCCTCTTCTTGTTCTCTTCTCTGTTGGTTGTTAACCAACCCTCAATTCACAAACCAACAACACCATTCTTCTTAGGGTGTGTTTGGTACAAGGAAATAGAATTGGAGTAGAGAATGGAAATAGAGAGAAAGGGAATTAAGTTGGGAAAGAGAATTGATTCCACTGTTTGGTATAGTAGATAATTCACTAGGGAAAAATAACTGAGAATCAATTCTCTTGTTTGGTTTTAGTAAGCAATGTAAAAATGATTTTTTTACCACATTCACCTAAACAACAATTTATTTTAGTAATATCATTTGTGATTTAATTATTTATTCATCACAGTAAGTTTGTATTTCTCATGTTTTATTTTCTCAATTGTTTTTATCAATTATTTATTATAATTATCACTAGACCCTTCATAATTATTTATTATAAAGACTATCTATCAGTTGTTAAGCTTTCATTAGGTGATTGTGTACATCACTGCATCTTTATATCAATACACACTTCACCTTATTAACAATACCAAATAAAGATAAACAACACAATTCTAATTCATTAATTTGTTCTCATACAGAAGACAGTCATCCTCTTTCATATCTATATAACCTTCAATAAACCCATTGTACAGCCATACATCATCGGGCCAATAAAAAGTGTTTGTAATATAATTTTTTTGAAGTTTGCACATGATTATGTAGTAATCGACTTCAATGTACAACAAATTGGAAAACCCATTAACTTCCCCCACCGTGCAGTATATGAATATTGATAAAAGGCCAGCTTGACTTCAAGGATGATTTTGGCAGCTTTCCATGAACCGATTATGGTTGCTTTATACGACAGAACACATATTTCATTGTAATCGTCTCTTCTTCCTTCAAATAATTCCAAATTCAATTTAATAGTTATCAAATCGTATATAAGAATTAAATTTGAAGCTCAGGAACGATGAATATAGCCCCAATTAAAAGTGTGATTTTCAGAAAAATGAAGTAAGATTGATGTTGAATTGCAAAAATTGAGAGTGACAATAACTATAGAAGCACTAAAGCATATATGAAAGTAATTCGTTGTAGGATTGAAGAACTCACCAACAAGTAGATCGAAACAAGGTAGATTCAGTGGTAATTGCAGCGGTGACTGGTTATGTGAAGCCTTCAGGCGTAAAGGGGAAAAACGAATGTAGATTGTAGGGCTCGAATTGTGGAATCGATGTCAATTGTCAATTCTCCGCTTCTTTTTTCTATTTCTCGGAAGCCTTCAGGCGTCTATTCCCCCCTTTTCAGTTTTCCCTATAAATAATAGAGAATAAAATTGATGGAAATAGAATTCATTTTTTTCCCTTTTCTCTACATTTTAATACAAAACAAACAAGGGAAATGGAAACCATTCCACTTCCCTCCTTTCAATTCTATGTACCAAACACCCCCTTAAGGGTTTTTAATATGTCACATATGAAACCTTTCATGTCATGGACGAAGACCCTTTTAAACCCCATCGTCGCTGCTTGATTTGTTAGTCACTGGAAAAGGTTTTGGTTGTTTGGATGATAGTTACCGACATTTCATCTTCCTCCGTTGCCTGATTCATATCTTCTTTCCTTATAATCTTTTCCCACTCCACCTATGTTTAGGATTTAGATTTGTTGTTTTTTGTGGTTTCTATTTGTGTTTGGAGAGTGAAATATATTGTGTAGCTCTGAAGCAAAGGGCTTCTTTAACTAGTAAGTGTTTTTGGTTTGTTTTTTTGATTCAATAAGTGGTTTTGAATCACACTCAATTTCTATTTAAGTTTAATACTACATGGACAATATTGTTGATGTAATAAAAGTTCTATGATAATGAATTTTTGGTAAATTAGAAATATCAATTGGGAAACATGAGTTTCGTCCCTTGGAATGGTTCAAATTCAAGAAAGCTTTAACATCAATTGTTATCCTAGAGTGAAGCTTTAGAAAATGCAGAATTTTATGTCGGATGTATGCCAATTGTTGTTTAAATCTTTAAAAATTATAGAATTTATACAATAGAATAATTAGTTGGGAAACATGAGCTCCAAGATGTTATGATTATCCTTTTTTCTTTATAAGTTGGCTCGTTTTCATATGAAAATGTTGGTAGTGGAAGGTGATTCCTGGAGCAAAGTATGTATTTGCTTAACGATAACATTTGAGTGATGTAGATAAACAAAATCCTAAAAAAAATGTTCTCTGTTTCCTGGAGCCTGTGATGGCGGCAGACGGCGGTGGTGGTGGAGGATAATGAAAGAAGGAAGAGGAAAAGAGATGGGTGGGATGAAATGAGGTGAGCTGAGTTGGATCCAGGTAGGTATGGTCGGGTTCCTTGTAATTTAATATTATTATAAATTGTAATAAAACAAGAAAAAAAATAATAAAATGATATATTAGTAATTTTATATGGGTCATAGACTAACCATATAAGAAAATGAAACCATATATCCACATTGACCGTTTAAATAAAAAATTAAGAGGGACCGAATTTATGATTTTTGGTAAACCATATGAACCATTTATATAATTTTGTCTGATATGGAAGGTGAGGAAAAAAAATAAATAAATAAATAATAAATAAATAAATAACTTAAAAGTATCACTCTTTGGAGTTTCACGTACGATGCCGCTCTCATGTACTCTCCGTTGCTTCTCCACTCTCAGCTCATAAGCGGATAAATTTCGTTGGCGACTTAAAATTTTGCTTTCGGTCTAGTGGTTTTGTCCCTCTACATCACCTTCTATTCTTTTACGTGTCTTTCAGTCTCTTTACGATGTACTGTTGTTTTCAACTAAAACTAGTAGGTAACAATTGTAAGACATTTACAAGTTTTTTAATTACATTTAATCTTTGGTATTAATATTAAAATTATAGTTGTCTTAGATGGTATTATTGACAAAATGTTCCATAACCAAATTTTTAGACACGTTAAATTTACCATCTTATTTAAATTAAATTTAATACACGTGCAGTTATAGTCTCTGTGGTGTTTTCATGAACCACTTATTAAAAAATATATATATAACTTTTTCACAAACATTTGGTGGATGCTCTAAATAATATTAAATTGAAAACTTCCAGGATGCATGCTTCAATCAAGTCCACGACAAATTACGAGAAAGGTTTGATATCAAATGATCTTATTTTTACGAAAAGAATAATAATTCAAACTCAGACACACAACCAAAAATGTGTTACAAATTTGAATAATATTGCCAACACCAAGAAAGATAATAACTCATTTGGTCTAAGCTTTGACGGTTATATGCAGGAAGATCATCAATTCAGGCGATAAAACCTAAATCTGGAACGATGTGTGGCTTAGAACAGGTACTCTAAAAGCATATACATGGTTGCTTCATGGAGGAAGAAAATTGACAGCATACACGTAAACAATTCGATGCAAGGTAGAGTAAATTGGTATCAAACTATACCTTTAAAAGTTATTTGCTTCATCTGGAGAGCCGTTCTTGGGCACGCGCCATCTGCGATCACACTTCAACATCAATAAATCACTATCGAGTCAACCTTATGTGGGTCCTGTATCAGCGAGCAAGAATGTATTGATCACATTCTTGTGAAATGTCCTTATGCTTCCAAGGTACGAGAACAAATCTTCATCTGGTGTGGTATTGACAAGTGTACTGCTCAAAGTGTGGGTGATCTTTTAGACTAGTGGGTGTGGGCAACTAGTTAAGAGGTGTTATCACACCCAAAAATTGTCACCTCACATGTCATGTCATTGTGGTGTTATAACACCAAATGGAGGAAATGGGCAACTAGTTATAACATCTTTAACTTTTCATGTCATTATTTCTTTTTTTATTTTTTTTCGATTTAATTTTTATTTTTTAAACAAAATTAATTAATTAATTAAAACATGTTATTTAAATAAAACCTATTTTTTTAATTAAACATTTAAAAAATATTACGAAAACATAACATTTAAAAAAAATTACATTTTGCCCCTAATTTATTCGTTTTCATTTCCATCATATATAAAATAAGCCAAATCCTCTCGAAGTTGTCTGTGTTTTCGTACGTCTTGAATATCTACAACCCTATGTAAATATTCCGTTGTCCCGGGTTGAAATTGCATGTGTCTGGGCTCCGAAGTCGAATACTCCGCAATGTTTCGTCCTTTATCTTCAACAACCATGTTATGCATTGTGATACATGCATACATAATATCTTGTAGAACGTCTAACTGATATGGTCGTGCTGCATGATCAACTATGTGTCATTTCGACTTCAGAACTCCAACAGCACGTTCCACATCCTTACGTGCTCCTTGTTTTCTCTTGAAAAAAAATTCTCTTGGTGTCATTGGGTGTCGAAACGCCTTCACGAATCTGGAGTATGCTGGATATATTCCATCCATAAGGTAATACCAAAACTTGTACTCATTTCCATTCACTGTGAAATGAGCATCTGGTGCCTTCCCTGACAAAATATCGTCGAAAATTGGAGACTGATCAAGAACGTTCACGTCGTTATTCGAACCCACAACCCCGAAAAAAGCATGTCAAATCCATATATATTGGGACGCAACAGCCTCCAATACCAACTAAGGTGTTCCATGCTGACCACTTGCGTACTGGCATTTGCACACCACAGGAAAATTTCTTCAGTTCTAGTGTGTGCAATCAATGCTTCCTAGCATACCCGAAAAACCATGTCTTTCTTCGTGCTCCACATATAGTTGTTGTATATCATTCAACGAAGGTTTGCGCAAATAAACGTCACCGAAGGTTTCAACAACACCCCTCGCCAATCTATACAAACTTTCTCTTGCAATTCTCTCAAACATTATCATATAGTCGTCAATCGAATCAGACGACTCTCCCATTGCCATAAACTTAATTACAGCAACACATTTTTGCAACCCTGTGAATCCTCGTTTACCTCTAGCGTCATATCTCATTTGAAAAAATTCATACCTAAACGTATATTTAATATATAAAAGCTATATTTGAAAGAAGCAATGTATTAAAATAATGTAAAAGCTATATTAGAAAAAAACAATATCTGCTTTCCAACGCGTTGGCTATCCGAACAAATACATTTTTCCGCAAACGAAACCTTCTTTTGAAACCGCGTGGCTGGTAGACACAATCATCCGCAAAATAATCATGAACTAAACGTCTGTACCCTTCTTCGCGATCTCTGTTTAACGTCGCGCGTCTGGTTAATAAAGGAGCTGGATCTGGTTGTATTAGCACGTTCGTGCAATACTCGTACATCATAGTGACAAACATATCATCGTCGTCACTGTCATCGAACGGATTCATTTTTTTTGTGGAATCTTTTGAAAATATATGAAAAAGAGAAAGAAAAGTGGTGAATAGAGAGAAAAATGGTGATTTTTATATGGAATGTAGAGAAAATTTGTGATTTTATAGGTAAAGTTTTGTTTTTTTTTAAACAATATTACCGTTAATCAATGGTAAAATGAAGAAATCAGAAAGAAAAAAAAGATGTGTTATCGTTCGTTGCAACGAAAACGAAACACCACGTAGCGGCTAAAAACGAAAGCGGGGGGTGTTTCGCGTGATAACGCCGTTGAGGCGCATGCCATCTCACAAAAACGGTTGTGGGCGTTGCCCACACCGTTTTAGTCTTACAACTAGCAGAAACATGGGGTCGTTGTCCCAAAAAAAGAGAACATTTTATAGTTATCTATTACAGAATGATTTGGGCGTTATGGAAAACTAGAAACGAATGTCTATTTCTAGAGGTGTTCTTTGCTCAAAGGACAGTGGTGGAAAATATGAAAGCAATAGTGTTTATGTGGCTTAAATGCTGGAGCAAAAGAAACATTTGTAGTTGGGTCGAGTGAAATCACTTCCTTTTTTGTAATTGACTATGCTGTTCTGTTTTCTTCTACCGTCTTAGCTTCTTGCTATGCATGGTTTTTAATATATTGTCCCCTTTTCAAAATAATATATATATATATATATATATATATAATATATATATATATATATATATATATATATATATATATATATATATATGTTTGGAGATAAATATATAAAAAGAAGGTCCAGTTTAGAAACAAAGTTACAAACCCATTAACCCATACTAAAACCGGTTGGGGTAACTCTAGGGGTGAGCAAAAACGGGTACCCGTCCTAATTGTATTGAACCGGAACCTGAACCGGCGGTTCTTAAAATGTTGGAACCGGAACCGGAACCGGTTACACAGGTTCTTTGAATTTTGGAACCGGTCTTGGGTGTAACTATTTAAAATCAATAATCAATAATATCAAACCAGTTCAAGCAATAAACCATCTAAATTTATTGTTTAACAGATTTAGTTCAATTTTTTTTATAAACTGGGTTTTTGATTAAACACATTAAACTCGAGATCAAGCATTTTCAAAGCAGCACACTTGACATTGGGCTATTTGTGAAACTTGTAAGATATGAGGGAGCTTCCTCTTATTATTAAGGAAGCTAACATTTTTCTTACCACCGGACGATGTGGGACGTACACCATCTTTGTAGATAAGAGAACTCATAAACATTTTGTATATCAAGCAATGTGGGATGGTCAAAAGAAGTTTACCACTTACT